ATATATAGACAGATAGGCTTGACGTCTTTTCCCAAACCTTTTTCCTTTTTCTAATTTTACTAATAAATAAAATAATATCATAAATAATATAATTAGTTCAAACCGATAGGGTGTTTGAGGTGCTCTAGCGCTGTGAATGCTAACTTCCACCATTCAGCTGTTTTCTGAACACCAGAATGCACTCTTTGTGTATGTCCCCAGTTTGCATCTCTGCTTGCTTATTGACTGGCACAAGTGACGGATCCGTCAACCGGTCTGATCCTTTCTTACACTGGCCGCGGGCCATCCTCATTGTCAAGCCCCGCTCTACAGTGTGAGAACATCAGTAATTCAAGACTGAATCTGAGCTCTAAAGCCTTTCAGAACAGCAATATGATATTCAGCAAAGTGAAAAAACAGCCTCCACTCCTCGAATTCAGACAACATGTGCTGCTATTCATCTGGAGTTTGTAGCGCACATGTCCCAGCCGGCCTGGACGTAAATATGGCACTAATTCCCCACCGGGACATCATCAAATGACAAGACAGCAAAGTGATTCCAGCATCAGCCACATCAAGAGCTGACAAAACATGTCATTCCTCATTCAAGGCAACAGCAGAGATGCTGAACGGCCGGAACCATCCCAGTGGGATCGAGAGAGAGGAAACGGATAGACACAAAGGACAGACAGACCTGTGACTTCATGAAGCATTTCCGACTGTGAGACGGGGTGGGATTTCTGTCCTAATAATCAGTGCAACCTAAAAAGCTGACAACTAATATAGCAACAAAGGAAAAGGAACCAGAGGACTAGTTCTAGACTAAATCATTGCACTAAAAGCAAAATGAAAAGTATAAAATATAAGTTTACAAATGTAGGGTGGAAAATGCAGATTTAATTGCAAAATCCAGTCATAAAAATGGAATTGAATGCATAAAGTGCAATGTCACGGAATTTTGGATGAATAAATCAAAAGTGGTGTTGAACAATTAATCAAATTGCGATATGGACTAGTGTGTGTGAATTTTAAAGCGTAAAAAGACTATTTAAATATGAAGTCTGCATGTTCGTCAAGTTCGTCAAAAAAGATTTCATAGGGCCCTAAAAATGTCATTTTTGATTGAATTAACTTTTAATTAACTGTTGTTAAATTGTGTAAGTTTCATGTTTTTAATTAATTAGCCATACCTTTTGATTTCATTTAAAAATTAAAACTGAATCCACAAAAACTAAAAATGAAAAAAAAAAGGAATCCAGAAAAGAGAAAATTTAAAAAAAGGAATTTAAATGAATTAATTCATAGGGCATTAAATATGTAATTTATGCTAAACTTTGAATAAATTGTTGTTACGTTGTGTGAGTTTCATGATTTCAGTTAATTAGACATACCTTTTGATTTCATTTAACCACTAAAACTGGATACAGAAAAATTTAAAATGTAAAAAAAAAAATAGAATCCAGAAAATGTTAATAAAAAATGTAAAAAAAACGGAATTTGGAAAAAAAATAAAACAGAATAGGGCCCTACAAATGTCAAAACTATCAAAAAGGAGTCGAGAAAAATTAAAATAAAAAAAACGGAATTTGGAAAAAAAATAAAACAGAATAGGGCCCTACAAATGTCAACAGCTGCATTTTCAATGAAACCTTACTCCACTTTTGGCGCAAATTCATCTGTTATTTAGTAGAATAGACAAATTAGACAAACACCAACATGGACAGGTTGCGTGACACTGTCATCTTCCAAAACATGAACTACAAAAGATTAAAGAAAACATGGTTTTGCTTCAGTGCCCAGAATTGACATTGGACTTTTAATATATTAAATTTGTATACTAATATATATATTTTTACATTTAATTTACATTGTTTACATATATACAATATGCTCTTTTGGCAACACCAAAACAGCATATTGAATAAAAGCAAACTAACGTGCTTAAACCTGAATATTACCATGAACTGTGCAGGTCCAACTATGAGGATGAGGATGTTGCACAACCTGTCCAGGATGAGATCTGTATAATTTGACAAGCCTCTAGAAGTTACCGATGAAACTGCGCATGGATGCATGACCTTTGACATCAACAACAAAAGATATGTAAAGTGATTTCACTGATATACAGAGTAAGGATGGGCATTTTTGGCTGCAATTTTTCATTTCGATCATCGATAGGTTTCAAAAACGATTAATCGAGTAATCGGGGGCGGGGCTTGTGCGGGGGGCGGGGCATGGCCGTAATGGATATAATGAAAAAATCTGAAGATTGTTATGAAAATGAATGTTAAAAATAAAAATATGACATGAAAACCTGTCTATGAAATCATGAACACGTGATTAGAACGCTGTTAGATTATGATTATGATGCAGCAATGTTATTAATAATGAAGCATCTAAAAGGGAATAGCTGCCTGAGGTGAAGAGTGACTTTATGCCAATAAACTGAAGCCTGTTCTATGACACATCCTATGATATTAATCAGATAACTTAGATACATAACATAGACGTAACATTACAACTAACTTTTGTAGTAATAGCAACTAATTAAGTTGTAGTATTTCCTCAGCGACCAGCACGGATCAGCTCCAGGCATGACGAAGCGGATATCGTCCTCTTTTGGAAGGCCAAACAAAGTAGTTTTGCTTTCACAATGAATCACACAGCGTCTTCACGACATGGCGGCGGCAACAATACTACAGCGAGAATAAAAGTTACGCCTTCTTTCTTTGCGTGAACATTTGGGTGGCGTTATGCAAATCTTCCCACATCGTGACGTAGACATGTGGGGGCGTGTTAGAACGAGCCGTTTTAGGTAGGTGTGGCTGACTCTTAACTTTTATAAAGAATATCTCTTTGGATTTGAGACTTTAGTCTTTGCAACTTTACAAATCTTCTTTATGCACCAAGAGCTTGTAACACTCCAAAGAGAAAGGAAAAATTGAAATCGCATCATATGACCCCTTTAAACTATAAAAGCGGCCCTGGACAGCAACAGATAAAAAAACAGATGTAATGACCTCACATCAACATGTTTTATCATTTTACAGGTGTCAATTATCTAAAGCTAGAGAATGATCTCAGGGAATGACACTTGTCTGAACTCTGGGGCTCTGTTCTAGTGAGCTAAGATGCTGTCTAGATAGTCAGCTGCCTACTAAAGCAACTTCATAAATGAAACAGTATCTAAAATAACTGATCTGTGTTATAGAAAAAGCACTCCTCACATGAAGCAAACAGGTGACTTGACTCACAATCAATTTCAACTGAGTTTGACGTTCACATGTTTTTAAGATAACGGTGAAATACTCGAATAAGCATAAAAAATACATAACATACAATTCTCAAGCCTCATATACCATTTTACGTTTTTCTAGTTTTCAAATGTCGTTAATGTATGTTTTATTTCAATCTGAATATCTATCATCAAAATATTATTTTTTAACATTTTAAAACTACAATAGTCTAAATAAATAAAACACCGAAATGAACAAAAACCTTGAACATGAACATTTCAATATTTTTTGTATGAAAATTATGAAAAAAATCATTACGAAAGTTTATTAGTTTTTAAATAGGATATAAGTTATATTTCTCATCTGCAATTTTAGATCTGCAAAAGAGACATGCAATGTTCCCTATTGATTTGTCCACCATCATAATTATGCTCCCTAACTTTTGAAAGAGCCTTAAATGTTCCCTATAATGCCTTAAAATGCTGCCTACATAGGCAGCTCACTAGGTTTCGAGCAGAGCCGCTGTGTTTGGGTCTTCTATCCTAATTCTTGCTCAATCACCATAAATATTTCCATAGCAACATCCCATGATCCCAGGGAATTCAAGGGTACACATACACACTCATCTCCTCCTAATTCTCCCGGAGCGTTCAGCGCTCTTGCACACCTGTTTCCACAACAGTGCCATAAACCAGAGACCACATCATAAATCGCAGTAAATAAATCCTACACTTTGATCAGGTACATGCTGACATTTCTCTGATGCATATCAGCCACATGACAACATCAGCAAACCTCGGGCTTTCCCAAGTGATCTTGTTCATGCAACGCCGCAATTAGTACATATTTACAAGTCTAATATCTTCTGATGGGCTTTATGTGGTGTGAATCAACAAATTAGCTGCAAAACGACTCATTTAAAAGCAGGACATCAAAGAAGAGACTGTGACGTCATCTTTAAAGAAATGGTATTTCCAAAGCAGAAAAGCTACTAAATTTAGGTGAAGTGTCACGATTTCCAGACCCATAAATCACAAGTGTAAAATTCTCTGACTTGTTCATGACCGAAGCGGATACAGAATCAGTTTCATGTGTTCATACCTGCATCCTTCTTGTTTTTCCCGCCATCTCTGCTCTTCTTCAGCACGGCCTTGAACATGGCGTGTCTCCAGGAATCCCTTCACGACTACGCTGTGGAAACACGAGAGATTTTTCACATGAAGCAGCAGGTTCGTACGCAGTTGGTTTGGTAAAATCAGAAGTTCTTGCAGTCTAGAGTTACACTCCACCCGAGAGAAAATTCTCCACAGAGACCTTTGAAATGCATACTGTATGTCAGGGCTTCTTTGACTATTTGACTACATGCTCTTTAAATCCCAGGGGGTGACTTTTATTAAAACTATCAGATTCACACTTTCTTTAATGGAGGTCACATTGCTTGTATCATCGCAAAATGTAAACTATATCATTGCCCAGCTCTGATCTGTTAAGTGCAGCTATAAGGCATGAAGATATTATAAACATTAACATCGTAATCTTCTTTAAAGCTGCTTTGAAACATTTGACTTTAAACTTACACTGCAAAAAAAACTGCGGTATAGAAACAATTTTCACTCAGAAATTGCTAGTGAGTTTTACAAAGCAAGCAATACATTGAATTAAATGTGAAATATTGAAGTAGAAAAACTGATATAGTATTTTCTTCTCAAAGTACTCCAATAATCTGTTTTATTCATAACTTTGAAAAATCTTTTTTTTACAGTGTAGAAACTTCTTAGCATGCATTCATTGTTTACTTTTGCTACTTGCCAAATGTCTTTAATGTATTTTTTACAAAGACTTTTAATCTTAAAATTTGAATATTTATGATAAAATAAAGACTAACAATCTAAACAAAAAACTAAAATAAACAAACCTTAAACATAAACATTTTCAATATTTTAGTGTGAAAATGTTGGTGGGGGGGAAATGTACAAAGTTTACACAAATTATGAAAAGTTCTTCAGTTGTGGCATCGTTTCCAAGATGACCAACAATTCTGTCACTTTCTTAAATTAATGTACTGGTTATGAAGGGAATATTTTGATTGTACATCATTTCCAATTAAAATTAATTAAGGTGAATGGCTTGTTGCATCCTCATTTGCAAATCACTTTGGATAACAGTATCAGCTAAATGAATAAATGCAAATGTAACGCAAGTAATTTTACCAAATGTCATTCCCACAACAGAATGTTATCAGACACAGTTGATATTTGAAGATGTGATAGAAAAGTGATGGTTTAGAACCAAAAACGACAAAACCAACAGAATGATTGTGTGATGCATGTTCAGTATGTCTACATTATTAACAGACAAATCAAATAAACGAGTGTGTGTGAAGAGTGCGTTTCAAGAGTCCACAGGGCCAAAAGTGCTCATAGTTGAAGAAATGTATTTTAAAAATAATGTATAAAAAAGAACCTAATCCAAATAACTTCTTGTATAATTTATTTCTCCATTTGGCCAAATTCTGGGATTTTTCCCACAGTCCACCCACTCTAATGTGTGATCACTGGTGGGCCAGCATGGAAAGAATTCTTCAATATTTGCACAGAGCGGCTCTGCTCCGCTATCTTGTTATTCCGGAAAACAAGCTGTTGGATTCCCAGCATTCCACATTTAATTGATGCTAAACGGATTAATTTGGGATTCCCGTGCCACTTGTCATGATAGCGCTGAGGTTCCTTCACCTCTCACATGTTATTTCAATATTAGCAACACGGGTCAAACGCATTACAATACGTCTATTTATCTGGTTAGAGTGTTTCTGCACTGTAAATTTCACTCAGGGTGCTATGGAAACCTGTTTCTGCCAAAGAATTTAAAAAAATATGAAAGGTAATTATGACTCACAATTACAATGATGAGTCATGATGATTTTTTTCCTCATAGTTTACATCTTGCAATTCTGACTTTTTTTTCAGAATTGTGCATCATAAGCTTGCAATTGCAAGTTTACATCTCGCTATTTTGACCTTTTTTTATCAGCAGATGAGTTTATATCTCACAATTCTAACTTTTATCTCAGAATTCTAAACTTCCATATTGCAACGTTGACTTTTTTTTCTCTGAGTGTAAAATTCTGTTTTTATTTTTCCACAAAATAAAAATGAAGTAATTGCAACCTTTTATCTCACAATTCTGCCTTTTTCTTGCAATTGCAAGTTTACATCTCACAATTTTTTTCAGCTTATATCATATTTCTAAGTTTATATCTTGCAATTCTGACTTTTTTCCTCAAATTCTCACTTTTTTCTTAGAATTCTGAGTTTACGCCGCAATTATCAATTATCTCACAATTCTCCCTCACAAATCTGTTTATATCTTACAGTTCAGTTTATATCTCACAATTATAACTTTTTTTCTTGCAACACTGAGAAAAAAAGTCAGAATTGCAACAAAAATGTCAGAATTGTGAGAAAAAGATCAAAAGTAGCAATTTTTTTTTTTAATCTTGTGGCAGAAACAAGCTTCCATATGGTACATCCTGCAGCTAGTGTGTGTAAACAGGCAGATGACTAAATAAAAACACACCAGGTTTGTGCAACATTATTATTACCACAATAGTATTTCCTTTCAATAGAAAAATTAATGCTTCACATTATTTGATCTCATATTTTGTTCTATTTGATTTGTTTTTGTACTACAAATGTGTTACGTTATGTGTTTTTGTTGTATTTTGAAATTTGTTTTTATGTTCTTCCTATTCTCTTTGTGTGTCTTTTGAGTTACTAGATCGTCGCTGATTTGCCAATTGTGGCGCCGCCTGTCAGCGGTTCTTGGACGCTCAGCTAGCAGTATTTGTATTTTATCTTTGTATGTTTATTTTATTTATTTATTTTCTGAGGTTAATTCTATTGATTTATGTTATAGATTGATTTTGTTTGTTGTTTTGGGCCTTGGGTATTTCTGAAGCTCAGTACCACTTAGTGACTGTTTCTCATCATTTCTTAAATAAATTGAAACTTTCAATTTATGGTGTTTTCTTTGGTTTCATTTTTGGTGTGACAGCTTGATGAGAGTCTTTATTCGTTTTATTGCGTCTTACCCCTAGCGGACGTAAAAAACGATATTCTCATCACCTCCTCTGAGAAAACAGCCTTGCTACAAAGACTAGAAGAGTGAAAAATAAAGTGTGCCTGACAGCTCTGCTCAGATGAGACGAGACAAGGTGAGGGGTCCGAACCTGGAGCCGTGCTGAACTCACAGCGGACGCCACAGCACTGAGATCAAGCATGAAAAAAGCCTGCAGGTCCCTCCCCAGGAGGCGAGCGGGCGGTCCGATCCGCATCGATCGCAGCTCTTGGATGAAGAAGACCTGCTGCGGCCTCATCCATAGTGAGAAGTCAAAAGTTGAGGAGAGAGACCCTCGACATGTAGTACAGAAACCAAGTTGAAAAGAAACACTGGACCCCACAAGAGGTAAACAAACTGGGCTCACACTGCTGATCTGGCTCAAAACTGGCATCTGCAAGCAGCTTTGTTGTTGAGTTTAACTTGAAAGGGTCAAAGAGTACAAAAAAAACATTGTAAATAAGCTTGAATATTATTACAGACAGCTTGTACAGCACAAAACTTATGAAACAAAAATCTCAGAGTTAAGATGTAAATGCAATCAATTATTTACAATCACACAATCCTTCCACTTACAGTTTCAAACATTAAAAGAAGAAATATACTTTACGCAAATTAAACAATGCAGATGCCAATGCTTAACCAGCATATTGGACAAATTGTTTGTGCCAGTAACAAACCTCGTTATTAAAATAAATTAACTTCAAATGTCTGTGACTCTGTGCCATTAAATCGCAAATTTAATTATATAGATTAACTAACTAACTTAAAGATGATTTTTCAAAATGTTACACGCTTCCACCCTGAATGCAACTTGCATCAATTTTTTTAGTAAATCAACATTGTTACAAATTCTAGAACTTAACTATTGCTCATTGTTATTTTACAATGCATTAATGCATTAACTAATGCATTAACTAACTTAGTATACAAATGTTAATGTAAAAATGTGTTGCAATAAGTACAAAATACCTTTAACTAAGACTAATTAATGCTATTAAAATCTATATCAGGCACGCGATCAGCCAAAGACAAAAATGAAGGAAAAAATAAAGAAATAGGCTATACCACCAAAATAATACCTATTATTTTACTATAAAATGTAAAAAAAAATTAAAATAATAACAATATTTATTATTAGAAATATTTTACTATAAACATTTAAAATCAATCATAAAAATATTAATAAAATTATTATTTTACAGAACAACAGTAAAATTACAATAGTAACATTTATGTTTTTATTTATATTTTCACAGATTTATGCAATTCACATGGGTTATACTTTTCAGATCGTAAAATATGGGGGGAAAAAAATCACATCCCTGCTATATAGACTGCTATAAGTATTACATTAAAGAAAATGAAAAATAAAGTGAACAACTGAGTGTTTGTGTGGATTAGATGTTCATAATAATTTATCAAAACACACTCAAGACAAACTCTGATCTGTGATCTGTCTGCGTTTGAGTTTTTCCATCCTGGCATTTGCTCCTGTTACAGGATAGTGAAGTGAGCCTCCTAAAACACTCAAATGTGCAGCACATGCAAGCAATTACAGCAGCACGTCTCATTCCAGACGAGCTCTCTCATTCCATCCATCTCTGAAGCAGCAGCTCTGAAATGGATGAGATGAGAGAACAGGAATTCTGCCACCTTCACAATCCATATAAGTAAAGCTGGGCGACATATGACAAAAAAAATACTTTGAGTTATTTTTCAGCCTTTTGACAATCTTTGATATTTATGCATCCTACTCAGAAAAGGCTTGAAAGAGGGAGAATTCTTTAAAAAAATCTGGAATCTTTCCACAAAAAAAAAAAAAACCCCAGTAGATTCAAAACATTGTATAGTAAAACACAGTAAAAATTGCAAAATAATCAAGCCATGTTTTTCCACAGTGTTCTTTATCAAAAGGAATATTAATATTTCATTATTTTCAAATACATGCACCAATATAGCAATACAAACAGCCATATTTGCACATATTTTTTACATTTTATTATATAAAAAATGCCACAAAGAGATTTTGGTAAACATTTTTGAGTGATGCTTTAAATAAATCATTGAATCTG